CTACTCTAAACCTGTAAATGTAACCAGTGGGGTTATACAAGGAAGTGTGGTTGGTCCATTGCTCTTTCTCCTTTTTATCAATGATGTGTGTTCCCTCTTTCAGTATGGTAAGCCTTTCCTTTTTGCTGATGACCTGAAAGTAGTTTATTCATTCTCTTCTTCCACAAAAGAAAGCTATATTTCTGCGATAATCCAGGAGGAAATAAACAAGTTGTACGAATGGACTATTTCGTGGAATATGCCACTTAATGTTGACAAAAGCGGATTTATTCACATTGGTCGCTGTCTTAACTTAAATCTGACTGTACAGACACATACACTCAAACCTCTCAACACTGTTCGTGACCTGGGTTTAAGATATAGCAATAGTCTGAACTTTTCTGAACACATTATATCTCAAGTATCCAAAGCTAGAAAGCTCATCGGATTGATAATGATAAACTTCAATAATATCGAATCGAGATTGTTACTATACAGAAAATGTGTCTTGCCCATTCTTGAATATGGTATTTTAGTTTACAGTAATTGTAGACATAATGATCTGATTAGAATTGAAGGTGTTCAAAGAAAGTTCACCAAAGCTGTTCTGGGGTATTCCGATAACAAAGACTACTACCAAAGATGTCAACAACTCAACTTAGAACCTCTTTGGATCAGACGTATCAAATTAAATCTTGTCTTTATCTACCGGCTCATTAACGGTATTTCCTACTCATCGGTATCTACCCCTTCATACCTTATAATATCGTCCCACAATCTACGCAATAAGGAGAATATTCTAGCGATTCCAAGAACCCACACAAACTTACGTCAGAATTTTTTCCTTATTCGCTACTCAACCATGTGGAACAGACTGCCAGTGAACCTCCGTTGCAGTGAAACTACAACCCGGTTCAAAAGTCTCCTTGACGATTTTCTTTCCGAAAGTGGATTATGTCATCTATTGAATATCAATGTATTCAATAATGATTTATACAAACAAGGTCCGTCATTTATTTAATTGCTTGAAAAGCAAAATAAAACCTTTAAATCTTTTCACGTCTATTTTGTTTTATTTCTCTTTATCTTAATATATGAAGTCTGATTATGTTCGTGTTTTATCATTATTACCGTTATTAATATCATTATTAGTTCCCCGACACATTAGATATTCTTTTTGTATCTTCTTACCCTTCTAAACATATTTAACTCCAAATTGTCCTTTGAAATCAATTTTGACTTTCATAGCATCAATCTTAATTATTATTGAACAATTGTTTATACTAATGTTCGCTTTCACTCTGTATATTATTACATAAATCTAAATGTATTCATCCGAGTGCATTGAAGGATTTTTATTTCATTTTTCTAAATTGTTGGTTTCCTTCTGAGGTTGATATTCATTACACAATTATTATTCTTATCATGGATCAAAACTTTTCACTAGGTGTTCACTTCTTTTCTCTTTTCTTTCCCTCTAAATAAATATTCTTAAGACTACAAAGTTTTTAACTAAGACAATAACTTGTGTTTTATCTTCACTATGCATATATGACTACTCATACACATAGATATTTTATTACCTTTTTCATTTAATTGAGACTTTCATAGCATCACTCCAAAATATGTGACTGCACAGACATTTATATTCTAGCGTCATATCTTACTGCAATTATAAGTTATTTTTTCTTAATTATTTTTTGTTACTAATTTAACGATACACACATAGTCGTTTATTCTTGTTCTGTGTTCATAAACACGCCTATTAGACTGTTTGCGTATTTCATGTCTCCTTTATTTCTATTCCCTTATTTTCTCCATTTCCTTCTTTAAACCCAATTCAATGTTCTTCTCAATTACAAAGACCCCATTTATTATTATTAATATTCTACTATTATTATTCTCAATTATCTATTTTATTTTTATTATTATTATTTTTTTAAATATGGCCAGTATAATGCTAACATTATTGAAAATTGTGTATTATTGCATTTTCTGAAGAAACCCGAAATGGTTTCTTCACAACACTTATGTACCCATAAGATGTTTGTGAATAATAATAATAATAATATATTTGGTGATGACCAATATGTCGGAATTCTCTGATCTAATCTGGCTAGCGATTGCGGTTGATGTTGAGCACGGCGTTACCACACGTGATCTGGTGCGGATGCCTGACCGAGCGCCTCCAGCTAGATGAGTCCACTAAAACATATGGTCAGCATCCAATGTCGAAAACTTAGTGCTATTTATTTTGGGGATTTATTTACCGCTACAGATCACTCCCCCCCCTAGTGGGGCAGTGACGACCCTAAGACGTGGCCAGCCAGAAGTTTAAACCCAACGAGTTTGTCGTTGGTAAACACTCTTCTGATAGCTTACTAAGTGTAGCAGCGTCTGGTCGTCTTTCCTTACTATATGGGACCGTGGTACAACATAGTAAAAAAAGAAAATGTACAATGAAAATTTCGGATCCTCATAAACGTCATCGTTCTTTTCCAGCCGTCCTGGAAAAGAAAAAAGAAAATGTAAGTGCATGTCGAAATACACTCGTATGTGCGTAAAAACACAATGTCGGCGGAGAAAAAATGGAAAATAAACTCATGAACACGTAATCGCATTAAAAAAAATTGTTTTTTTGTTTTGTATTTTTTTTAATAGAAATAAAAATATATAAGCATATTAAAATTGTTTTTTTTTTTAAAAATAATATAAAATGTCGAGAAGTGCCTTACGTGCAATAGTCGTTTAAATGTTCTGGAAATCTCACCCTTCTTCCAGAACGCGTCGTTTTAAGTTTATTTTCGGATACTGTCAAAGTATCATCGTGTGTGTTGGTTGTCGGATGAGGTATTATAAGTGTCGGAGTCGTGTCGTTCGATTGTACCGAAGGAAAATCCACGTAGATAGGATTTCCTTCTAAATACGCTGCTTTTAAGCGATCGATACTGATGCTATCGTTGGTTCCGTTCTTATCGACTATATAGTACTTAGATTCACATTGAAGAACTTTGAAGGGTCCTCCGTATGCTGATTCGAATGGTCGTCGATGCGAGTCTCGACGAACGAAAACGTGTGTACTATATCGTAAGTCAGGTTGAACGAAAACATCAGTTGATTGAGGTCGAGTGGAAGCAGGTTTAACTGAACGCATTGCGTTTGTAAGCCTGTTCGTGTAGGAGGTTAGATCCATGTTCATTGAAGAGGATGAAGGATCCACGAATTCTCCTGGAAGTCGAAGTGTCGTTCCATAAACGAGTTGAGACGCAGTGTATCCAATGTCAGCTTTCACTGCATTGCGGATACCTAGTAAGACGAGTGGAAGAGCGTCGGTCCACTGTGAAACGTTTGCAGCTGATAGCGAACCTTTCAGTTGTCGGTGAAAACGTTCTACCAACCCGTTTGCTTGTGGATGGTAGGCGGTCGTTCGGAAGCGAGTGATTCCTAAAAGTGTGGTCAGACGACGGAAAAGATCGGATTCAAACTGACGTCCGCGGTCTGTAGTGATGGTTGAAGGGCAGCCGAAGTTTGCTACCCATCGTTCGACGAAGGTGCGGGCCACTGTTTCAGCAGTGATGTCCTTGATAGGTACTGCTTCTGGCCATCGAGTGAAACGGTCTACGCAGGTTAAGAGATAAGAGTATCCATTTGAATCTGGTAAAGGTCCTACCAAATCCAGATGAACATGGTCGAAACGAGCATCGGGAGTTTTAAACGAGCCTAAGGGACATTTATTGTGTCTGATAACCTTAGATTTTTGGCAGCTTACACAGGAGCGTGCCCACTCGATCACGTCTTTATTCATTCCAGGCCAGCAAAACCTTTCTGCAATAAGCTTGATGGTTGCACGAACACCTGGATGAGAAAGTTTGTGCAATGTGTTGAAGACATTGCGTCGATAATGTTTCGGCACGATTGGGCGATCCCTACCTGTAGATGTGTCACAAAGTAAGGTTTCCTTACCTGTTCCCATCTGTTTGATGCGTAGTTTAAGTGTTGTGGACGATAACTCGTGCTGAAGATCACTGTCTTCTTTTTGAAGCTCGGCGAGTTTAAGAAGGTCGATTCCTTGGAAACTGTTCAAGGAAGTTATACGAGATAAGGCGTCTGCAACTACATTGTTTGCTCCAGAGACGTGTTGAATATCTGAAGTAAACTGCGAAATGTAGTCCAGTTGTCGAGACTCACGGGGAGAGTACTTGTCAGAAGGAGAGCTTAACGAGAAAGTGAGCGGTTTATGGTCCGTGAAAAGAGTGAATTCACGACCTTCGATGTAGTGTTGGAAATGCCGTACAGCACAATACATAGCTAGGAGTTCCCTACCGAATGTGCTGTACCTCGATTCGGTGTCTAGCAACCTTCTAGAGAAAAATGCCAAGGGTTGCCAGGAGTTGTTAACCCATTGTTGTAAGACTCCTCCGATTGCCGAGTCGGATGCGTCTACAGCGATGCTAATGGGTGCTCGGGTGTCCTGATGGGCAAGCATCGTTGCTTAAGCAATAAGTTCCTTAACTGTGGAGAATGCTTTTCGTGCGGTGTCGTCCAAATTAATGGATTTCGCATTTCCACGAAGTTGGTCGGTCAGAGGTTTCATAAGTAATGCGCATTTCGGTATGAAACGTCTATAGAAACTTACCAGGCCGTTAAACGTGCGTAATTGCTTGACGGTGGTCAGTTCTGGGTAATCCAGAATGGCCGCCACTTTGGTCCTAAGAGGTCGAATGCCTTGAGCATCGATAGAGTGTCCTAGGAAGTCTAACGAGTCGGTTCCGAATTGGCATTTCTGAACGTTTACAGTTATGCCATGTTTTTGAAGTCGTTCGAAAACAAGATCCAGATGCTTGAGATGTGTTTCTCTGTCCGGACTTGCGATTAGACAGTCGTCAACATACGCGTTTACGAAGTTGAGACCTCGAAAAACGTCGTCTATGAATCTTTGGAATGTTTGAGCAGCATTCCTTAGACCGAAAGGCATTCGCAAAAATTCATAGAGTCCGAAAGGAGTTATGATAGCTGTTTTCGGTATGTCGTCAGTAGCCATAGGGATTTGGTTATACGCTTTAACCAAGTCGATTTTCGAAAAGACAGTTGTACCTTTCAAGGTAGCTGTCAAATCGTGAATGTGAGGCAACGGGTAACGATCGGGAATGGTTTTCGCGTTCAATCGCCGATAGTCACCAGTTGGACGCCAATCGTTGCTGTCCTTTTTAGGGACCATGTGCAACGGAGATGCATATGGGCTACTTGACGGTCGTATGATTCCTAAGTCCATCATGTGATCGAATTCGTTTTTCGCTAACCTTAGCTTTTCAGGAGCTAGTCGTCGTGCTTTAGAGAATACAGGTGGTCCTGTAGTCGTGATGTGATGTGTAACGTTGCTGGTTACACACGGTAGTTTCGGTTGAGTTTGTTGTATCCTAGGGTACTTATCGAGTAGTGGTTGATAGAGTGGGTCTATCATATGTTTAACTGTGACTGGGGATACTCTACAACCAGTAAAAGAAGATACGCAAACGGACAAATTAGTGTTTCCGTCTACTAGCCTCCGTTTGCGAGTGTCGATGATCAGATTGTGGTGTTGTAGAAGGTCCATACCAATGATTGGCATAGAAACATCTGCAATAACGAAAATCCAGTGGATGGGTTTGCGTAAACCCACGTTAAGGTAAACGTACCTTTTGCCATACGTAGCGATCGGTTTTCCGTTTGCCGCCTGTAAGTTTAGGGTCGATTCGTGTAGTCGGTCGTTAGGATTTGCTGGGAGAACGCTAACTTCTGCGCCAGTGTCGACGAGGTAACGAACTCTCGTTGTCACATCTGTGACGAATAACAGACGGCTTTGTTCGCCGGCTACGGTTGCCGTTAACGCGTGCCGGCTTGGAAGTTTCCCGAATTGCTTTTCGAATCAGTCGGTTTCGTGTTGGGAAAATTGCAGGGTTTTCTGCAATTTCTGGAAAACTTTCCATACTGGTTATGATACCAGCACCAGTCGGGGTTATCTGTCTCTCGTGGTCTAGAGACAGATCGCTTACGAGAAATGCTTCTACGTGGTGTGCGCGATCTCTTACGGTCGGTACGAAGACTAAGATAACGCGTGAGTGTGTGACATAAGTCGTTTATATCATTCTGAGTCGTTTGAGGTTTTTCTTTGACTGAAAATACCTCGGTAGTAGATTTCGTAATTTCTAAAATGCGGTCGGCAGATGCAGCTAGCTCGTCTAAGGCGTTGTTCTGGAACGAGACCAGAACTGCTTGCACCTGTTGGGGAAGTTTTGACAAGAAGAGTTGTTTGAATAGGCCTTCGTCGAAAGTTCTTGGGCCTATTACCTCTCTCATCCGTTGCAACATGTCTGTCGCAGAACCGTGTTGCAGGTCGATATTGTTGAAGAGTTGATCTAACCTTTGTCGATCGGTTAGGTCTCCTCGTTTAAGAATCGAGCGTTTTAAGATTTCGTAAGGATCGGAAACATCACTAGTAAACATACTAGGTGTTACGTACCTGTTGAATTCGCGCGGTAGTGCCTTGACTACTGCGAGGAATTGTGCACGTGTGTCGATCACGCCGTGCTCGTGGAAGTCGGCTTCTGCGTAGCAGAACCAGGCTTCGATGTTGTCGGGCCAGAAAGGCATCAGTTGAAACGAAGGCGGGGACAAAGTCTTAAGCTTGAGTACTTTAGGTGTCTGTTCAGTCATGATGAAGTATGAAGTACGATAATGAACGAGGGGAAAATATATATATCCAAGAAAAAACACGAAAAAAAATCACAATGTTTAAAAAAATAAAAAAAAACAAGGCAATGATATATAAAAATCCCAAAAAGGAACAGACTCACAGTTGCAATTAGGTGTACCAGATCACGTCGGTTTCACCAATGTTTGATGTCACAGGTATTCAGTGTTTGACAACGCTTCTACCAGTAACACCTATTATATTTCGTTCCTGCCCAGAGAAATCAAAAGACAGAGTCGAGGAGATCGGAAGAGTATATTTGGCGATGACCAATATATCGGAATTCTCTGATCTAATCTGGCTAGCGATTGCGGTTGATGTTGAGCACGGCGTTACCACACGTGATCTGGTGCGGATGCCTGACCGAGCGCCTTCAGCTAGGTGAGTCCACTAAAACATATGGTCAGCATCCAATGTCGAAAACTTAGTGCTATTTATTTTGGGGATTTATTTACCGCTACAATAGGGTCAAATATATATGTCTTATCAGTAAGCTCAAACTGTTAGGTATAAAATCACTTTTAATTGATTGGTTCACTTCATGTCTAAAAAATCGACATTTTGAAGTTAACTTCACTTTCTCAGACTATGGAATGTCCTAGTGTGGACCTCCAGTGTTCACTACTAGAACCTCTTCTCATCTCCGTTTGTAAAAACGATCTTCCACATCAGACATTGTCAGACCTATTACTTTTTTATGGTGATGTGAAAATTTGTAAGGAGAGAGATTGGCAACCAAGAGGGTATACTGGGATTTCAGGAGGATCTGATTCGACTTCAGAATTGGGTAGATGACAATGGACTTATCTTCAACGCTTGAAAGTGTAAAGTAGTCCATCTGTGACATGTTACAGACTACAGCTGCAGCTTAGGCGATTTTCCTCTATAAGTAACCCAGGTTGAAAAATATTAAGGAATGCTGGCAAACTACTATTCGAAGTCTTACGCTAACTGCGAAAAAAGTACCTTCCGGGTAAACCTTGAACTGGTAACTATGAAGCGCATTTTTGGTCAGTTCGACGGCAGAACTTTCTACATATTCTTTACAGATTTATTTGTTTCCATTTAGTGTGCGGAAATACAGTATATCCTCACTCATTCCAAAAGGTTAAGGACACTCTGGATAGTATCCAACGGTGAGCCACGAAATCAGTTCGGGGACTCAGATTCAAGCCCTATGAAGAGCGCTTCCAATCACTAAACCATTACCTATTAGAGTACAGGCGTCTAAGATGTGACTTTCGAATATCTTACAGCATTCTTAACACTTCTGGACATCTCCTCAAATACCTATTTAAATTTAGCTCCAACACAAACCTGAGGGGTAATTTCCAAAAACTGGAGACACAACTCAGCAGAACAGACTATAGACACAACTTCTACTCCTTAAGAGTAATCAAATTCAGGAATTCGCTGCCGTCCGGCATTGTTCAAGCGATCCCCCTGGGAGCCCCATAAGAGAAAATTTGACAAATTTTTAAAGGCTAGTGATAATGACCTACCAACTGCTTTTTCCTCTTTTAACGATAATATATCCAGAATCCTTCCTACAGGTATTAATGACCCACTGCTACTAGATACGTAGGTCTGTTAAGCTAAAGCTTCTTATGTCCCTTCCAAAACCATTTGAACCTGTTAGTGATTTGTCCTTTTTAAGTATTTCACCGCCCACTTTAAACATTTTCTCGTCATAAAAGGTCACTTTTGGTTTCAGTCAATAATCATTCTTGTCACTACATCATCATTTTTGCTAATCTCGACTCATAATCCCAACATCGTTTATGGAATTTCTTCATTGAAATGTTGTAAGATGATACATTCATGGAATTCAGACAAACCAGAAAGAGGTAATATAAGCGAACACGGGAAAAATGGACATTCCCTAAGACAATATGGAAAAATAGAAGGAAACTGACCCGAACATTTGCTGTGAGAAAGTAGTTCGGCATTTATCTATCTAGTCGCCTTGGGTTTGAAATATCATTGATTGCCCGCCAAATTGTTTAGTTTTCACGAAAATGTGAGCAGAATGATTTGCTTATAGGTTGTGTGATGACTTAAGTCATAATGTCACAAAGCTCTTCTATCCCAACATAGTTAGCTTAAGCGAATAAAAAAGGCAAATAAGTTAGAACGTTGAAAAACTTCCATAAGTAAGTCGGTGTGATTATAGACGACAATTCTCTAAGTTTAAGTTTTTTTTCTCAGTCTTGGGTATGTGAGAGTTTTCTCCTAAGTCTCCCCATTAAGAATGAGTGTGCCAAGCCTTTCACTTTTACCTTGTCCAAATTGCCTACTTTATCGCAAAACGAACTCAGAATTGTCTACCGTTTCCCAATATTCAGACATCAAATAATCAGCATTTTGCAAAAGCAGGCAATTGTCTGTTATTACTTCCTCATTACTTTTCCCCTTATTTTTCTGACTGCCTGCGAAATGTCCTTAATTTATATTTTATATTTCTTCAAGGTAATGTGTTGAATTCAAATTCCTTTTCTCGTCGGCCAGAATAGAAAAAAATGTGTTTCTTTTTTGTAAATAGTTTAAAATAGATGATAAGAAGTTCGCTACTGGAGTACTATCTCCTTCCATTGTTTACCTCACACGTTTGTGTTGTTCAGATTTACTCCTTTTTCTCTGCGATATCCATCTGTGAAAACGTCTCTTTTTTATGTAACTTTGGAATTTACGAAGTATTTCCAAATAACATATACTATAGTCTTCAGGGAATTTACATTGCATAGTAGTTCCATAACAAGTATTACTAAACACCGGTTTGCCTGATTCAATGATTTTTTTCACAGCAAAACTTCTGTAAACATCTCGTTAAGGGAAATTTCGGGATTTTCCATAAGTTGTTCAAGAACTTTGTAGATTTCTCAATGAAGTTGATTACACTTCCACAAAACTTCTATGAAAACAATGACAACCTCGAAATCCCCGCACATTTTGACGATTACTCCAAAACATCAGCTTATTTTCTGAAAAACCTCCAAGTCAGTGGAAATTTCAAGATTCTGAGTTCAATTTTCCCCAGAGTTCCTTTAAACTTTTTGATGGAATTTCCTCCAAACTAACGAAATTATAACCGAGGTCGGGAGCTTGAGAGCCACTAAAGCCTGAACACTGAGCTGTCGAGTATCCCTCTACTCATGTGATAGCCATTGTTGTATTATCTAATCATTGTCAGGTTTGCAGTTTCATCCACCTATAAAGGCCACCCCCGCATGTCCGAAATACATTTCATAATTTATAGTTATCCGGTCCTCATTACCCAAGCGTTGAAACGTTACTTTATTCAAATACATGGTCATTTAGTGATATGAAGTGATAATTTTAGGGACTTGAGCTTGTGTAGTTTAATTTCCCGAGTTTGTCGTATACATTGTTTCTGGGGTTCTCGTAATTAGCTTCATTGTTGTTGCGTTAATATTCACTTTAGCAGTTATAATTCCCCATATTTACTTACTCTTGTTACCCCTTACGGATGAGCTTAGGCCGCCCACCGGTATTCTCAATCTAACTCTGTCTTGGGCAATTCTTTCTAGTTGTTTCCATTCGTTGTTCATTCTTTTGATGTCTGCTTCCAATTCTCGGCGGTGTGTTCTTTGGCCTTCCTCTTTTCCATTTTTCGCTAGGATTCCAAGTTGGCGCTTGCTTCGTGATGCAGTTTGGTGATTTCCGCAGTGTACATCCTATCCACCTCCGGAGTCTTTTGCTAATTTACTCTTCATTTGGAAGCTGGTTTGTCACAGTAAGTTGTTGCCGATAGTATCCAGTCAACGGACATTCAGTATCTTGGGGGGGGGTTAGACGATTATCTATAAATACTTCCACCTTTCTGATGATGGTTGGAGTAGTTCTCCAAGTTTCATTTCCGTACAGTAGAACCGTCTTGACGTCCGTATTAAAGGTTTTCACTTTGGTATTGGTTGACAGTCGTTTTGAGTTCTGTATGTTCTTCAACTGTAGAAATGTTGTCCTTGCTTCGCCAATCCTTTCCTTTACGTCTGCATCAGATCCTCCTTGTTCATCAGTGATGTTGTACAGGTACATGAAAGTTATCATCTCCCATATGATTTAGATTTTTCCTAATCTAATTTTCTGTCTTCTGTTCTCTTAATAAACTATGATCGGACACTAACAATAGGTTTTGGTTTATACTTTAAGACTATTTATGATCACTTTTTCACGCACTTGTCAACATACATCATTCGTTATTTACATTTCTTGCTTTGTATTTTAACCAAAGTTCCCATATTTTATCAACTAAATGCGTACTTGTAAAGTATTTCTTCATCATTACCACTTCACTACCCTTTTTCCCTCAACCATCTTTCTTATTTTTTTCTCTACATTTGTTAACTATATTTTATGTATAAAAGTGTTTTGTATCCTCAGCAGATCAATAAGGAGCAAAATTGAAGTGTCGCTACGAAATGGTATTCCATAGAAATCGCAATGCGTGTATTTGCAGTGATTAATGCTTGCTGGTTAAATTATTGAAAACTTATAGAGTTAGCGTTGTTTGCGAAACTTATTTCATACATATCTTCACATACACTTCACTAATACCAGGAAATATATTAAATTCGGTTTCGTAAGCAGACCGGTTGTGAAATTGGCATTTCTCACATTGCTCTAGACTGTACACATTGGTAGTGAGAGGCTTTGTTTTGATGTTTGCTTTAAACGGTTACGTCAGGTTTCCTACTAATGGATACTGTCGAAAATATGGGTAGTAACTTTAGATAGTACCAACAGACAAAAATCCACAACTAATGCATTGAATTTCAAAGCTTTAGTTTTATATCACACTTGTTCAGGTATCACATGCTTTATTCCCAGTTTTTAGTTTCCACTACAATCGATCTTATTACTTCACTTTATTTGATTTAATCCTGCTAATTTCTTTTCATTATAGTTATATGAAGTATGAATACTTAGGTCGACGCATATTTTGTCCAGGTCTTAGGTTTTTGATGGATGAATAGTACTGAACAGAGTTTTA